CACACACACAACACACACACACTGTGACACACACACACACACACACACACACACACAGGCACACAGACACACACACACACACACACACAGACATGCTCAACTCTAAAGGGTACACCAAGTCCAGTATCACACACACAGACACACACACAGACAGACACACATGCTCAACTCTAAGGGGTACACCAAGTCCAGTAATATATCCTTTCTGTTACAATAATGTCACACACACACATGCACATGCACAGTGACACACACTCACACACACATACACGCACACACTCACACACAAATAAAAACACAACATTTTGATTTATGATAAACATTTATATTCATATACTTCAAGATATGGGCAATAGTGTTGTTATGATAAATGCTGTATTGTTGTTGTTATTGTTATTGTTGTCGTGTTGTTGTTGTTGTTGTTTCCTTAACGTTTGTTCCAGTTGACATCTGGTCGGTTGGCTGTATCCTTGCTGAGATGCTGAACAACAGGCCCATCTTCCCAGGCAAACACTGTATCCTTCACATGGATGTTCTTTTACATCAGTTAAGTTCAGTTATTCCTCAGTGCAGTACTCAATTAGGTTTACATATGTAAAGATGTTTAATGTATAGTAGTGTACAACATATTCTTAACATCTTAATGTCAGAAAAAAAATTGTTAGAGTACTTTTCTTTAGAAATGAAACATCATTATTTTTTGCTGACATTCTTCTTATTTTATCTTATATGGTGCACCAAAAACATTTTTTGTTCACCCAATTATTACGCTGGATGCACCAGTGCACCTATTCTCAAAAATGAATTTCTAGCCCTGCATCAGTTGAGTTCTTCCATGGTGCAGTACTAAATTAATCCAACAGGAGGCTCTGGTGCACATGAAGATTTGGACTTCAATTTGGTATAAGGGTGCCAAATTTCCGTAAAACAAAGAAGTGAAAAAGAAGCTGAATTTCTAATCTATCTATTATGAGAACAACCCTGAGTCTTGTTGTCAGGGATGTCAGAATTTCTGTGAAACAAAGAACTGATGAAAGAATCTGAATTTTTTATCTGTCACAAGAACAACCCTGACTCTAGACCTCCAGATCTGGATCAGATCAGCCATATTTTAGGTGTGGTGGGATCCCCGAGCGCGGAGGATCTCAGCTGGATCATCAACGACAAGGCTCGCAGCTATCTCCAGTCTCTACCCTACAAGGCCAAGGTTCCATGGAACAGGATCTTCCCTAAAGCAGACTCACATGGTGAGAGATTCATATCCTAACCCTAATCCTACACACCACCCTAACCCTACCTAACCCTAACCCAAACCCTAGCCCTACCTTACCCCAACCCTACCCTAACCCTAACCCAACCCTACAAGGCCAAGGTTCTATGGAACAGGATCTTCCCTAAAGCAGACTCACACGGTGAAAGCTTTGTATCATTTACAGGATGACTGTAGTGGAGTTTAGAAACAGCAAGGAAAAGTTTGGGAACAGCAAGGTAAACATTGGGAATAGCCAAAAAATGCTTAGGAACAGCAGAGAGAAGTTTAGGAACAGCAAGGACAACATTTAGACAGCAAGGTCATGAGTGCGCGGCTCGGAACTAAGAGTCCCGGGTTCGAGTCCTGACATGCCACCGATCTTGTGCCCTTGGGAAAGGCACTTTACACGACTTTCCTCACTTAGCTCAGGTGTAAATGAGCATTGTCCTGGCATGTATTTGTCCCCTGTGTTGGTGGCGGCATTAATATAAGTTGAAAAAACTTGAGTGTGTCGTCACCACGTCTGGTGATTACATGTTGGAATAATAAAAAAAAAAAGAAAAAAAGGTCATCATTAGAGACAGTATGAAAAATATTGGAGTTAGGGTTCAGAACTGTTAAAGTCATTAGGAACAGCAAGAAAAGAAAAGCAGTATGGGTAAGGGGCTGAAGTATGCCATCTCTGTTTTGTTGCTGACGCAAAATTTTCTCTTTTTTTTTCCAGCTCTGAATCTCCTGGACAGAATGTTGACCTTCAACCCCCACAAGCGCATCACAGTGGAAGAAGCGCTCGCTCACGAGTATCTGTCGCAGTACTACGATCCTGACGACGAGGTTTGTTTGTTTGTTTAAAGTTAAAACTTTTACACCCAACACAAAAAGTTCTCTCACCTAGAGCTTTTGACCAGTCACTCTGGTCTTCCTCAGTAGACTGACCCAGTGAAGCTTGTCACGTGGCTTCTTTGAAGTGTGATGTTAACACTGGGTCAAAGGTATCTGGTAGACGATGTCGACCCCCGTCGCAGTTCAAGGAAGGGTGATGTTTGTTTGTTTGCTCACGAGTATCTGTCGCAGTATTTTGACCCAGACAATGAGGTTTGTTTCTTACAACATACTGAAGCAGGGCTCGAAATACTGGGTGCATGTACACCTTAGTGCACCCAAAATATCAAATGTATAATAGTATACAGGATATTCTTGGCATTTAAGTATCAGAAAAATAATAAAATCTTTCTTGTAGTACTTGTATGAGGTTTTGAAGTTACCTCCCATTTCATATTCAAGCTCAGAAGAGGAGCAGTAAGATCTGTAATTATGTTTTGTTTCATATGGTGTACCCCAAAAAAATTTTGTGCACCTAATTTTGTAGGTTGGATGCACCAGTGCACCTATTCCCAAAAATGAATTTCAAGTCCTGTGAAGGCAACACAAATGTGTTTCATCAGTTCTCAGTCAGTTTAAAGTTCAGTAACAGACAAAGCTGGAAACAGAGAATTTGGAAGGAAAACTTGAATCCGAGTATATTAAATCCTTGTAACTCTGTGCACCGAGGTACAGACTTTCTCCTTAGAACTGTGCCTGAGCACGGTTCTGGATAAGTGTGGACTATCAAGAACTTTGCCTGAGCATGGTTGTGGATAAAGCAAGGTTCTGGATATGTGTGGATAATCCAGAACTGTGCCTGAGCATGGTTCTGGATAAAGCATGGTTCTGGATATGTGTGGATAATCCAGAACCGTGCCTGAGCATGGTTCTGGACAAAGCATGGTTCTGGATATGCGTGGACTATCCAGAACAGGCCTGAGCATGGTTCTGGATAAAGCACAGTAACGCAAATATAACTTTACTTGTTGTCCTGCTCTAATCAGTCTTTTTTCCCAGTACCAGCCCTGATGAATGTCTTGTTTCTCCCCAGCAGCTCTGATCGATGTCTGTTTTCTCCCCACAGCCGGTGGCCTCAGAGCCCTTCAAGTTTGATACAGAGCTGGACGATCTGCCTAAGGAGAAGTTGAAAGAAATGATCTGGGAGGAGACAAAGTTTTTCAGCCACCAAAATAAGTGAGACAGGTGGGAGCTGGCTTGTTTGTTTGTTTTAGCCATTGTATGTAATGCTCGAATTAGCCTGCTTTTCATTGAGGTAATGAATTTCAGAGATCAGGGTAAGACAAAATAAAAACAGACAGGTTACATGATTAATTTTAAGTCCTATCAAATCCATAAACATAGTCATACAAAGTCCATGTACATACATGTATACTGTAATTCACTTTATGTTCACGGTAGCAAAAGTTCACAGTCTGAGAAAAATGGACATGTTCACAGATCTATATATTCACGGTGGCGACAGGTGCAGGAAAAAGAAGTGAGAGTGAAAACAGTGAACATAAAAGTACCATGAAAAAAATCAGGAATTACAGTATCCTTACACATTCAGGGTTTAAAAAAAAAACAAGTTAGGCACCGTTTCCATAGACAAACAAGTAATAAAAAAATCATTGGTCATTACTTTGGGGACAGAAGTAGTGTTTTGGGTGGCTGCCGTTTGTGTGTTTGTCTGTTTTGTGTCCGGACAGAATAGGTTAAGAGCACATGGTTAGAACATTGATACAAGAGGTGAAAGGTTGTCTCCTTGGCAACAAAAATGTCCGAGAACCAAAGTATAAAATTTGAGAGTAAGTCCACACCAATTTAATTTCTTGGTTAACGGATTCAACCACTTCATTTTTTCCTGATTTGAAAATAAAAATTCAGAATCAACTACAAGATGCTCATAGTTTTGCCCTGAACAGTTAAAAACAGTCCTTTTCTTCCTAGTTACAGTTACATGTATTCCATCTTTCAATGCAATAGTATCATTAAAAGATCAAAATTCATTGTTGAGATTTTGAACCAGCCTGGTGTGTTGACTTCATGGCTCCTATCGTACCATTTTGGGCCATAATACGATGCCTAGGCCTGTTTTTATTTTTATTTATTTTTTGCCCGCCCGCTCCATTATTTTTCTACAAAAATCCGTTAACCAGGAAATTAAATTGGTGTGGCCTAAAACTCGGATGTACAAAAACTGAACCCTGTTTGTTTCTTCTTGTTCCACAGGACTTAGAGCTGAAGACTGTCCACAGCAGCATTTTCCCCTTCCCCCCACCCCCCTCCCGCAAATATGCCATTGTACATGGAGCAACTTTACATACTTGTGACTCGATATTGTGGCTATCCCTCCAACTTAACGCTGTTGGAAAAATAACAGAAACAGTCGAATTCTGTACATGGTCAGACCGAGATGTGGGGTACGCTCTCACTAGACAGCTACAGGGCTCAAAATACCTTCTGCATATGCAGGTTAGTACAGGTAAAACTGTGCAGGTATTTCTGATGTCTACCTGCACCTAACCTGCACTGGTCCATGTACTGGGTACATGCAGGTTAGTGCAGGTAAAATTGGAGCTGTGCAGGTATTTCTGATGTCTACCTGTACCTAACGTGCACTCAGGTCTATGTACTGGGTATATGCAGGTTAGTGCAGGTAAAATTGGAGCTGTGCAGGTATTTCTGATGTCTACCTGCACCTAACCTGCACTGGTCCATGTACTGAGTATATGCAGGTTAGTGCAGGTAAAATTGGAGCTGTGCAGGTATTTCTGATGTCTACCTGCACCTAACCTGTACTGGTCCATGTACTGGGTATATGCATGTTAGTGCAGGTAAAGTTGGAGCTGTGCAGGTATTTCTGATGTCTGCCTGCACCTAACCTGCACTGGTCCATGTACTGGGTATATGCAGGTTAGTACAGGTAAAACTGGAGGTATTTCTGATGTCTATCTGCACCTAACCTGCACTGGTCCATGTACTGGGTATATGCAGGTTAGTGCAGGTAAAATTGGAGCTGTGCAGGTATTTCTGATGTCTATCTGCACCTAACCTGCACTGGTCCATGTACTGGGCATATGCAGGTTAGTGCAGGTAAAACTGGAGCTGTGCAGGTATTTCTGACGTCTACCTGCACCTAACCTGCACTGGTCCACAATAAACCAACCTGCATCCTCCAAATTTCAATTGGTACTACAAAAGATCATCTTTAAAACATTATTTTTGATGGACGAAAAGGAAAATATTAACTTCAGAGTCAGGTCGTTTAAAATATCTCCTGTGGAATGTATTTCGAGCCCTGCTGTTTCGTTATAAGTCAGTTTTAGAGAGGAAAGAATCTGTGAGGGAAGTTTTTGAGCGGTGAGGAGAAAGATTGTACAGCTTATTGGGAACTGAAATGCGGTGATTCAGAGCTATGAGTAGGTATATCTAGCAGATAGAGACTATTTAAATTGTATAATGTCGTAAGAGAGAGGGGAACTATAATAATTGGATGATTGTTTTAGCGCTTACTTTATATGAAGAAATGTCGGCTCTTGTAAACCTGGGCCACATCCAGGAGTCAGTTTAAATAAGGGAAGTGGGTTTAAGTCTCTTTGGAGAGAACAAAGGGCAAATATTTTTTTTTTTTGTCGTCTTTAAAAGCTTGCGAACATTTCCAAGGCAGCCAGAGTTTGAAGAACAGGAATTTACCATAGAATAATGCTTCTTTTTTTTTTTTAAATTGATGTTGAGGAGTAAGTGTACTGCTACAGACAGGTGTACTTGTACATACAGTTTTGGGTGTGGACAGACTTACAGGCTAGAAGGGGGAGGGGGGCGCATCTTCACACTTCAGATGTCCATGTTTGTTAAACTGTCAAAGAAGCCTTGTCACGGCACTGGGGGTTTGGAGAATCTCATCATCTTAACAAAAAAAGCTGTATAACTCTCCAGAACTTGGCTGAAAAGGTTGAGTGAGTTTTCAGCGACCAGTAAAAATGTATGGCTAAATGTGATGTCGACCTCCCAATGCCCAGTGTCCTTCCTAGTCTAAACTTTCCAGCATTCACTCTGGACTGTCCAAGCAGATGCTACGGTGGCAAAGTAGTATCCAGTCGGCCAAGCATTGTCCGGTATCCTGCAATTGGTTGCTGGACACTGCTTGGCAGTTTGGATAACTTCCTTGCCACCGTAGGATCTGCTTTGAGATCGGACCTGAGCCAGGCTTTGAAGAGTCTGTCTGGGCACGGTCTTGATATGTTTCTGTTCCTTGTTAAATTGTGTCTTGTAAAACTTCATGATGGGGAGGGGGGCTACATGGAAGCTGTTTCGTACACTGTGAAGGCAACTGTGAAAGATTGGGTCTGCAGGGTTTAAGCACAGCACTGGAAAGTTCTGCATTACAAAAAAAGAAGAAAGTTTTGATTTTTATTTTCCATTCTTTTGGAGGTGGCAAATTTGTACCGATCGTTCTTAGGTTTGCAGAGGTGAAAAAGTCTCAGAATAAGTCTAGTAGTGGACGAAGAGAATTTATACAGAGAGTAGCATGATTGTCCAGTACAATTAACGTCCATAGCAGGCTTGACATGTCAGGCTTTTCTGGGGCTTGTAATGTGCTTTCTTTCTGATGGTTCGTATTTCTGTTGTGGGCTTATTCTGTAGAAGAGAAGACCTACAAGAATCCCAATACTGAAAACTGATATGAGTCCCATAGCTTACGATATTCCAGTCTGGCCATCTGGACGGCCATAGAGGGTCCAGCTTGCCTGCACAGGCCAATAATGTCCCCTTTGCCGATTAATTTTCTACTATTTATTCAGCCTGCAAAGGAGTCTGGTGGAGACTACTCCTTTATGCCCGTGATCCATGATATGCTACCATAAAGAATTACACATAACAAACCCAGAACATCCCGACAATTCAAGCCTGCTAGGAGACAGTAAACTGGTGTATGAAACTTCATGTGGGTTGTACATGTATATGTAGGGCTTCCATCATGGTGCCATGAATGTTCAGGAAAATACTTTTCCTGGAAGAAAAGAAAAAAAGGAATCTGAAGTGACCCTCCTACTGTGTAGATAGGTCTGCTGACATCTAAACGTTCTTCTGCAGTCTGTCACAAAAACAGCCCCTCTGTTTTTCTGTGTATCAAATTAGACCACGCAGCATTAAGCCTTTACTGGCCTATATATTATTTTTGTTTTAATCCGAAGGCCCCATTTTTGTTCAGGTGGACGAAAAATGAGAAAGACAAAACACCTGCAGACTTGATGTTCAGACAAACTTTAGCAACGTTTATTCCTCAGTTGGATTTTACAGAAGAAATACATTTAAGGCCACACCAAGGCATTTCTTAGGTTCCCATGTACATGTACATTTGAAAATTAGCAAAACATTTATTCATTTTTTCAATGTGAAAAAAAGGAGGAAAACTTGAAACTGGTCATTCCCTGACACTGTCCACCAAGGTACAGACTTTCTCTCAGACTGTGTTTTCATGTTCATCTTCCAAGAGCCAAGAAATTAACTTGGTGTGGCCCTTTAAGTTTGGGGAGACACTGGGAATGTGGAAAGTCTAGTGAAATTTGAAGGCAAATATGTCTTTGGTGAGGAAAGTGAATGTCGAAGTAACTCTCTTAGTAAAAAAAAAAAAGATCTAGCAAGAAGTCTTGACAGTTGTAAATTTCAAGCTTCGTTTAAACACAACACAAGAAGGGAATGGTGAGTTACTTTCCTGTGTTGGAACACAGATTGAACTCTATAACTATGGATTCTGACAACACAGATGAGCTTTCATTGGAAGGAGTCTTGATCTCAGGCTTAACCCTTGTCCTGCAGAGCACAACAATTTGTTCTGCATGTATAGTACAATCTACATGTATATGACACCCTGTATAGGTACGATTTGGGGGCATTTCTTGTGCAACGCATCACACCGCAGCAAAACACAATGAATGCGGAAGTAACTATGCCACTGCAGGGCAAAAATTTTTTTTGGGTCTATGATCTAATTAAGACATGAAATTATTGAAAAATATTGTGCCAGGAATGCCAGCAGGACAAGGGTTAAGAGTTACTCCCAGTGTCTCTCCACCTGAAGACTGACCAGTCGTTTATTCTCTGCACACCTGTCCTGTTCTTGTCATTCCAGCTTAACCCTGGCCTCCGTAGCAGGCTTATAGAACTGGGGGTTTGGTGGTCTTCGGCTGTTTTCTGATTAGCCCAGAACGGGGGTAATTCAATCAGGCCGGCTATGTTGTCTATATGCAATCAGAAAATAGCACATAAAAGACCCTGAAGACCCCCAAACCCCCAGTTTTTGGCATGCTATGGAGGCTAGTTTAACCCTTCCCCTGCAGCTGTAGCCTGGAACCAGGGCACATCTGGTGCCACAGGGCTCCCTCAGCTGGGGGAGGGTTAACTTATCCTCATGTTGCTGTTAGTCCGAGACTAAGGAAATGTATTAGAACAGAAGTGTAGGCATTTATTTACCTACACCTGAAAGAAAGAAAAAAAAAGGAATTCGACTACTATATGTACGAGAGTATTTTACATAGCACATATTTTTAAGTTACAAATGAAGAAATTTGCTTGTTAAAGCTAATGATAATAATGATGATGATAATTTTTGTTGTGGTAAATCTGGTGATGATGAATTATTAAGTTTTGTACACAAGTCGTCTATGTACCTACATTAGTGCTGTAATCAGAAGGTGAGAAAAGTGTTATAAAAAAGCAATCAGTACAGAAAATTGAATCTGGGTAGTGCAGAAACGGTTTGTATTGTTCTAAGTTGTTATTATGAGATCAGGCGATATCATTCAACCCTGTCCGCCATTTTCGGGTCATTTTTTGTCCTTGATGTATAATAAAGGGATCGTATAAAATAGGACGTGTCCAGACTTGTGTGTGTGTGTTTTTGGTCACCACCTTCTTAATACTGTAGGTGATGCCTAAAAGATATATATTAAAGCGAACATTTAGCAATAGAAAGCCATCACATGTCACCAGTTGTCAGACAATATAGCTGCTACCCTGGTTTACATTAATCTCCAAGCAGATCCCTTTCGATGGCAAGACAGTATCCATTAGCCAGAGGATCGAGTTTGCACGGCCACCAAACTAGCCTCCATAGCATGCCAAAAACTGGGGGTTTGGGGGGTCGTCACGGTCTTTGATAGCCTGGGTGCCAAACCCATAGCACACTGGACACAAAGTATCTCAGTGAGCCTGGGAGATATTTTGTCCAGTGTGCCACCGGTCTGGCACCCAAGCTAGGTCTTTGGGATCTTTTATGTGCTATTTTCTGATTGCATATAGACAGCATAGCCTGCCTGGTTGAATTAGCACCGTTTTTTTAGAACTGGGCTAATCAGAAAACAGCCGAAGACCACCAAAGCCCCCGTTCTATAGCTATAAGCCTGCTACGGAGGCTAGTGCCGTACCATGTTGGTACAGTGTGTTTGCCTCTGCTGCAATCTGCTCAACGTGCGCATTTTGCTGCCGGTACAAGCCAGCGACTGACGGTTGTGTTTGGTTGGCATCTGTCGCACTGTAAGTTGCTGCCTCAGCCAAATCAGCGCTACTCGTGTGCTCATTTGTGAGATCACTAGTACTAGTACAAGTGTTCGGTACCGTCCCTCCTCGCTGATACAGTGCGTTTGCCGCGGCTATGCCGTAAGGCATTTCCAGATCTTCCTCGCCAATTTCGGTATCTCCGCTCTCAAAAGCAGATGGTTCGGGTAGTTCTTCTGACACGGCTGTATTTACAGGCTCGGCTGCAGTTTCCTCGTCGCCCGGTAGAGGGGGCGGCGCTGCTGAGGCGTACTCGTCAGCGTCAGCGTTCTCGTAGTGGTGAACCTGAGCTTCTGTAGTACCGATCGTGTCCGCTGGGGGCGCTCCTGCCACGCGGTGTAGGCTGTACTGCGTGGCTCCCAGTTTCATCGCCGCCCATAGTTCAGTTCCTCTCAGATGTGCGAATGGAGAGGCATTTTCTTCCGGCTTAGGCAGGGGGTGGAGCGGTATGGCCTGTGCCCCCGCGCGTAACGTCGCACCGGCAGTGGTGGCGGCGTTTTCACCGCTCCTTCCTCGCTTTCTCCAACGAAGCACCGCCGCAGGAAAGAACAGCACCAGCATGGCGACAATTACAGCGGCAATGAACAAGGGGGTGGGCTTTGCTTGCGAGTCTGAGTTGTTGCTTCCATCATCACAGAAGTCCGGGCGAAACGGCGTTGAACTTGTCCCGTTGAAACAGCAGGGTTGGTTTGTGGAACCCGCACAGGCGTCCCTGCCGTTTTTACCGCCCTGTGGAGGCGAAGAGTCCTCGGGCGGGGGCGCCGCGGTTGTTTCCCGTTCGTGCCCGCCCCCTGCCGGCCGGTCGATGCACAGCAGCATGTCGATGCGGCCGGTCGTGTTGGTGCCCGGGACGCCCCGCACGCACGTGTACAGCCCGGAGTCTGCCGCCGTGAAGCTAGGAATCGTGAGCGTTTTGCCGGCGGGGACCCGGTGTCGCCCTCTCGGGGTGACCCAGAAGAAGTGATCCAACCGCATGTGCACGGGAACCTGGGGCAGAATGATGTGGTGGCCGTCAGGGACGTAGAAGATGTTGGGAGCGACGCCGAAGTGCTCGTGCCGTCTCTTGATGAAGAAAAACTTTCCTGCGAACTCGCGAACGCCTTCGGTTGTGACGGCGTAACTCTGCATCACGGGCCATCGGGGCCTGTTCTCTAAGTAAGTCACGTCAGTCCGGCTGGAGTTTTCATCCTCGGGACAGCGCAGAGGGTTTCCCTGGAGCCGGTAGGAGGCGGGCGGGCGGAGAGAGGCGATGTCTCCGGGAATGCGGCTGATGTTGTTCACAGTCAGCGCAACTAACGAGAGCCGCTCGCTGGGGATCAGGCGGACGGCCTGCGCGGGGACTGCCGCCAGTCGGTTCCCGGAAAGTTCCAGGAACTGCAGACCCGCCAGCCCGTGGAAGGCGCGCGGCGAGACCGCGGAAATGAGGTTGTTGGAGAGGATGAGATCCGAGAGCGCGGCGAGGGTCGAGAACGTGAAGTCGCGAAGGGAGACGACCCAGTTCCTGTCCAAATCCAGCACCAGCAAGTCCCGCAGAGGCTGGAAGGTTTGCGGGGATAAGTTGTTCACCCTGTTATCGTCGATAAGCAGGTACCGGATGTGCGGGGCCGAGCTAAAGCCGGAGCCGAGGCGGGAAATCCTGTTGTGAGACAGGCGGACGGTGTGCGCGTCTGACGCGATGGCGTTGGTCGGGACGTGCGTCAGGTTGCGCCCCGTGAAGTCAACGGACCTGCCGACAGCGGTGGTCAGCACAGTCAGCAGGACAAGGGGAGCCACGGAGTTCATCTTGCGCCGTGTCCGGATACTGGGCAGACAACAACAAAATATAAACAAACAAACAAACGAGAAATAAAATATAAAACAAAGTTTGTCGATAAGGTAGAAGACTACCCTGGATGCCAGAACTCGTTTTTCGGGCGGCAAGAGCCCTTCGCCCGCCGGTCTAAATTACCGCTACGGGGGAGTCTAGCGCGGGGGGAGTTTGGCCGCCCTCCAATCAGTTGGAGGACCGATATATACTCCTCTGCGGGCGAGGATTCTGGCTGCCGAAAAAAAAGGTTGGCGGCCTGTAAACTTGGCTGGCACCCAGCGTAGCAGAAGACAGAAGAACGTCCCGGTTATACCGGCAGATACAGATATATGATTAGAGTACGATTACGGATTAGCCTGGCAGCCAGACCACCACAGGCTCCCCGGTATCTCTACGGTGTTGAGACTACTGCACGCCCGCCAGCCCGGGTCCATTAGCACGCGTTGGTTATTTTTACGGGGTCGGTTTCAATTACCGTAGTGAGTTCTACAGGGTCAGGGCGACAATAACTAAAAAGGCGACAGAAAAGATGCAGCATGTCGAACTCATCTACAAGTTATTTTACCTACCGATTATACAGGATTGGACTGTTTCTCTGTTGCGCCGTGCCGTCTTATCTGATAGAAAATAGCCGTTTTTGTCAATATAGCATGCAGACATTATAATGTCCTTGTGGATATATTATTAAGATGTATGTCCGAACAGGAAGCAGACGGTCCGCGGTTGCCATTGGCCAAAAAAGATCGCCCCGGGTGTTATTTTGTCCCAGTTTGTTGAATTGTCTGTCATGAAATTGCGAATAGAACATTTGTTCTAATGAAATCTAAATGTATCTAGGCCAATTGGACATGTACACGTGTCCAAGTGGCTAACTGTATACCGCTAATAGATTTTAATTTGGCCCCAATATGTCTGCTTTGTATAAATATTGTTTGTTGTATTGTATTTCCTTTCATGATTAAAAAAAAAAAAAACGAAAAAAACACGTGTTTTGAAAGACGGTCGAAGAAGGGACCGTAGAAACCTTGATTTTCAACAATAATCAAAAAAACAGTTTTGTTTCATGTTTCTCTGATGAATGCAACTAAGCTTTTTTTTTTTTTTTTGAGGAAGAAAGTTCAGAACATCTACGAAAATATTAATCTCCAAACAGATTTTTTGGTGGGGGTAAGACAGTATCAAATTGGCCAGTCTGTCGATGGGGAAATGGTTACAGACTGGCCAATTTGATCGATGAAAATCGAAGATATTTTATTTCATTTTTTGAAAATGCACCAAGACATTACACTGACTCTCAAGGCAGCAAAGCTGATATTAGAGAGTCAACATATGAACAAATCAACAAATCGAACATAAACGTCTCTTCTGATAAAACCGTGACAACCGTTTTAAAAAGCCAAAATTCCTCACGGAATTTTCAACCGAAATCGTGTCATTTGACGTCCTTGGGCACACCAATATAGCCAAGACAAGCCAAAGCTCTACGCGACCTATAAACTCCGGTGTAAGACCGCAATGCGAAACTCCGGTGCGAGAGCCCAGAAAGGTCAGGGGTCAACTTCAGAGATTTGGCGCCAAAATCGCAGTGTCTGAGATATTTGCCCAGTTTTTTGACCGATAAAACCCCACAGAAACCATGACGACCGGAGGGGAACATCGCAACCTGCCCTGGTGAGAACTGTGCTCTAGTCAAGCTCGTTTATTTGTGTTTTCTGCGTTAGCAAGAGGCTACAGACGAGAAATTTGTGCGTCGTAAAGTTACGGTGTGGGAGGGGGGCAGGTTGACAAACATACTTTTAAATATGTTTTGCACAACAATTGTACAAGGTATAAAGTACTGCATAGCATGTATGGTACAACTATATAACAAACATACTTATATGTCAGTTTATATAGGTAACGGAGAAGAAGAAAAAGAAAATAGATTTGTCAAAAGAATTTATTTGCTTGGGCAAGACACGCAGTTCACAGTCAGAAAGTCGTCTTCTATAAGTTCTCAGAGCATCCGTCTAGTTTTATTTTCTTCAGTAAGATTTACAACAAATTGAGTGTTTCTAGAGTGTTCACTGACCATGCCTCTTTGTTTGTTTGTTTGTTTGTTGACGTGCCTGAATTGCAGGGTGAAGTACCTACTAGTACCTTGTTTGTTGACACCAGTTCCCCCCCCCCCCGTGTGTTGCACGGTTGAGAAGTACCTTCCCTGTTTGTTTGTTTGTTTGTTTGTTGACACCAATTTTTCCCCGTGTGTGTTTCAGGGTTGAGAAGTACCGACCCAAGGAGATGACAGAACTAATCTCTCATCAGGACATCATCAGTACAAGTACGGTAGTCTGGTTTATGGTTAGCCTGGCTCCAGGGCTAGCCTGGGTGCCAGACTGTTGCCAGGGTCAGCATACAGGCTAGCTCCTCGGCTCCAGGGCTAGCCTGGGTGCCAGACTGTTGCCAGGGCAAGTATACAGGCTAGCTTCCCGGCTCCAGGGCTAGCCTGGGTGCCAGACTGTTGCCAGGGCCAGTATACAGGCCAGCTCCTCGGCTCCAGGGCTAGCCTGGGTTCCAGTCTGCTTCCTCATCTGAAAAACTCTTAGTTCAGCTCTAGAGAGGATTCTCATACCAGTAATATATTTCCCATCATAAGACAGGGTTGGAAAATAACTGTGTGCACATGCAAGGTAGTGGATGCTACCAGAAATGTCTGACTGTTTCCAAAATCATGTCCAGTTGTTTGAGTAGTATTTTGTTCGATATCTAATTACCCGGATGTCTAACCTTCATTGACATGTAGTTCTAAGTTGATGCTGCTGATTTGCCCCGTTGCCATGCCGACCCCAGTCCAGCGTTTCCTAGACGAGGACCGCCTGCCCCACCTGCTGTTCTACGGCCCGCCGGGGACCGGCAAGACCTCCACCATCCTGGCCTGCGCGCGCCGCCTGTACGCCGACCGGGAGTTCAACTCCATGGTGCTGGAGGTGAGGTCATAGTTCAGAGGTCATGGTGATGGAGGTTAAATGGTCATAGTTCAGAGGTCATGGTGATGGAGGTTAAATGGTCCATCCCATAAGGTAGCAGTACACAGTTTCCGGCCTATGGGCATTTCTATAGTTAAGAACCCAGAGGTGACCTACTTCGACGCGGTGAAAAATATAGTTGGGTGCAAAAGTAACTTACAGGAGTTGAATATGTTGAGTTCAAGGTATAATGTACAAAATATGTGAAAAGGGGCTAGAGTTTGTCGGCTCGTTCACTCGTGACGCAATCTTTTAAAAGCGCTATGCGGAAGGTCACGGAATTGCAGCAAACGCACTGCACTAGGCAGTGACAGTATCAAGGCGCGAATCTACGCTGACCGAACGAACATGAAAATTCAACTTTTACAGTCTCAAACCTGACGTATTCCGCTACCATTCACCGCAGTATCCGCCTCGCTGGCGTACACACAAGAATCTCTACCCCTTTCTCTAGTATTGTGCAGCACTACTTTCTGCCGGACTACTTTTGACTACGGGGTTCGCCCATAAATACTGTGTACTGCTACCATAATCCTGTACAAATAGAATTGAACCCTCCCCGCTAAAAAAATATAAATCATTTCTTACAACTACAGTTTACTTCTTTTCCAAACCTTGTACACAGTCACAGTTTTAGAGACTTGCAAGCGGCCCAGTTACATTTATTAATCTAAGTACAGTACACTGTAACTTAAAAATGCACACTGCAGCACTGGCAACTGCAATTTATTTGAAGAGACATCTGACATTTTCTACAAAATGAAATGTTTAATGACAGAAGTATATTGTATGACAGGGATGATGACATACATGTACTTACAAGCACAAGACAGGATTTCCACAGTCTCCTACCAAAGCCTCAGGCAGCCTTGGAGTGATAGATTGTCTCACCACAGAGTTACAAAACAGCTCGTAGGACAGCTTGGCAAGACCCAGTAGTAGGTCTGAGATTCAATGACTTAGGACATGGTCTTGGATGGTTTATAATATAAGAAAAAAGGCCAGTCCAAAATAATCTTGTAGCTTGTACTGAAAGGATTGTTTGCATGCACTATAATTTTTTTTCACTAGGTCTTTTTTATATTCATTGTGTTTTTCTCAAAAATTCCAACACACAATTAGTGTGTATGAAATATTAGTGTGTATGAAATATTAGTGTGTATGAAATATTAGTGTGTATTAGATAATAGTGTGTATTGAACATTAGTGTGTATTAGATAATAGTGTGTATTGAATATTAGTGTGTATTAGATAATAGTGTGTATTGAATATTAGTGTGTATTAGATAATAGTGTGTATTGAATATTAGTGTGTATTAGATAATAGTGTGTATTGAATATTGGTGTGTATTAAATGATATTGTGTATTCATGCTGTAGTGTGTATTCAATATACACATGTAAAAAAGGACCAATTTTACTGGTACTAAGCTCACAAAGTTTCTAATATTCTATCTTCAAATATACTACATTTTTCTTTCAACATATTGACATAGAACTTGTATGTTTCTAGCTGAATGCGTCGGACGACAGAGGAATCGGGATAGTGAGGGGACCAGTTCTGCAGTTTGCCAGCACAAGGACAATCTTTAAGTAAGTCGGACACACTTCGGCTATGTCTTTAAGTGTCACATGCAAGAACTACTTTCAAGACGTAGTTTTAACTCCACATGAAAAGCCTGGGATGTACAGCTCATATCAGTAGTATGTATATATTCATGTACATGTATAATACATGTATATGTATGTAATGTACTGTAATGTTATGTATTTATTTTTAATTTAAGGAAATTGTAAATATTAATGCCGTTCAGGCAACATTCTATTAGCCTGGGTGCCATCCGATTTGTATAACGGCTACCCCGAAAAATTATACAAATCGGATGGCACCCAGGCTAACATTCTATATGATTGTATGTCTGCAATGTTGGTATGTTGATGAGAATTGAATTGAAGTGAGTGTAAGAAAAGAATGATATTTTTTTGTGCAAGAGTTTGTATTTTAAGAAAGAACTGCTGACGACCCGACTTTTCTGTTCCAGACGCGGGTTTAAGTTGGTGATTCTGGACGAAGCTGACGCGATGACGGGCGACGCACAAAACGCTCTGCGGAGAGGTCAGTACCCTTCAGGCCTCAACAACTGCGTTTGTGTCATGAAGGTTCATCTGTGTTGGTAGTTTAATACTTTTGGTCCAACACAAAAAAATTCACCCAGAGCTTTTGATGACCAGTTACTCTGGTCTTCCTCAGTAGACTACCCAGTGAGGCTTGTCACGTGGCTTCTTTGAAATGTGACGTCAACACTGGGTCAAAGGTATCTGGTAGACGATGTCATTTCTGCCTTGTGTGTGTGGGTAAGGGGGCGAAGTCTGCCACCTCTGACTGCCCTGTGGGTAAGGGGGTGAAGTCCGCCATCTCTGACTGCCCTGTGGGTAAGGGGGTGAAGTCTGCCATCTCTGACTGCCTTGTGTATGTGGGTAAGGGGGTGAAGTCTGCCATCTCTGACTGCCTTGTGTGTGTGGGTAAGGGGGTGAAGTCTGCCATCTCTGCCTTGTGTGTGGGGGTAAGGGGGTGAAGTCTGCCATCTCTGACTGCCTTGTGTGTGTGGGTAAGGGGGTGAAGTCTGCCATCACTGACTGCCTTGTGTGTGTGGGTAAGGGAGTGAAGTCTGCCATCTCTGACTGCCTTGTGTGTGTGGGTAAGGGGGTGAAGTCTGCCATCTCTGCCTTGTGTGTGTGGGTAAGGGAGTGAAGTCTGCCATCTCTGACTGCCTTGTGTGTGGGTAAGGGGGTGAAGTCTGCCATCTCTGACTGCCTGTTTGTTTCTGCAGTTATGGAGAAGTTCACAGAGAACACCAGGTTCTGTCTGATCTGTAACTACCTGTCTAAGATCATCCCTGCCATCCAGTCCAGGTGCACCAGGTTCAGGTAGGCACACACCTGGAAAATTTACCTTAAAACAAAGTTACCTGTACCAGCGAAATGCCTGTAAAACACCTGAGAAAGCAGCACGTCGGCAGAACGTACTGCGCCTGCGCAGAACCCTGTATTTTCACGTTTTTCGTTGGGTTTTTGGTCAACGTTGCATCAGAATTCTGCCTGTTGCAGAGGATATTCTTTCCGACATAACATTTGGAAACTACTGTCAAAATGCTAACCTTATATGAGCGAATACAACCTTATATGAGACATTCTGCTGAAATGCTATGTAAAATACATTACGGGTTTCGCGCAGGTCACCGCGGCAAGTACAGTACGTTCTGCCGACGTGCTTGAGAAAGGTACCTGCAAAACAACCTACCTGTTAAACACCTGTGAAAACTTCCTACAGTATGTATGAACCATGTGCAATAAGTTACATGATTGTATGAAGACAATTCAAACTCTGCTACTGGGTAAATTACTTCTGGACGTTTCAAGTCATATCCTTCACATCACTAGACTGGACTTACAGAACTAACCAACACTTATACATGTCAAAAACAGATGGAAAAACTGGTTGAACATGACAAAGACTCATGTCATTGATATGTAATTCGAGTTAAAAGTTGTTGTCTGTTTTTTCCAGGTTCGGCCCACTGGGTGTGGATCAGATGCTGCCACGTCTGGACCATGTTATAGAGATGGAGAAGTGAGGAGTTCTCACATACATGTACAAACTTACAAACACCAGGATTCTGCAATAACTTAGATGTACAAACTTACAAAAGCTGACATTACCAGTATATACATGTACAAACTTACAAACAACAGAATTCTGAAAAAACTCAGACAGTGGCTTGCTGAAGATATTTCTAGACCATTTTTATGTTTACCGAAGAACGTATTGTTTTTGCTCAGTTTCTTGGTCTTCTCCAAACAGTGACCTCTGACCTGGTCAATGACTGTCTCTCACCGTGGCAACTGGTGTTAGGTTACATCATGTTGCAATTTTACAGTCGGAGGGATTTAGACTCCTGTCACCATATATGTGAATGTGGTTGAGTAATAATTAACAGAGCAGACATTATGCATTTGTGAAGGTAAACATTATGCATTTGCTTTGCAAATGTTACTTTTCTAGTTTCTACATAAGTCTTTTAGCCCTGCCAGGCTAATCTTCCAAGGTTCAAACGAACTAACAAAGGTTTTGTTTTCAGAGTTGAGGTGACAGAAGACGGGAAGAAAGCAATCCTTCAGCTGGCCAACGGAGACATGAGGAGGGTCTTGAACATCCTTCAGGTGAGAGTCTTACTTCTTAAGGTTTCTTGATGTTGAGCAGGTGGCAGAATTATAGCAACTCAAGTTTCAAGTTTATTTATTTTACCAGGGCATACCTCAGATCCGTTGATCTGTTTTTCAGATATCCCTGGGATGATGTTTCAGCATGAAAGTTCAGTAAATTACATTATGTTGGTAAATTTGTTGGTAGTTGGTAAATTACATTATGAAAAATTTAAACTGCTTCCAACTCATAAAGTTCACTCACCAGAATTTTTGGACTTCAGACAACTTTTGACCCTTTTGACATCACGTGGGAAAAATTACGTGTCCACAGCATTTGGGTCAGATAGCTGAGGAAGACTGAGTGATTCAGTAGAAAATTCAAATGTATGAGTTGGAGAACAGTTTAAATTTTTCCTTATGTGATGTTGTTGTTTGTTTTACCCCAGAGCACGTCGATGGCGCATGACGTGGTGAACGAGGACAATGTTTACCTGGTGACGGGACAGCCTCTCCGCTCTGACATCGCTAACATCGTCAACTGGATGCTAAACGAGGACTTCACCACTGCCTACAACAGTATCCTTTTACAGGTCTACCCGTGCTCCATGCAGAACATAGGGGTTTGGTGCCCATGTCCATTTCCGTAGCCCTTGGGCGACACACAGTTGTGCAATGCACTACAGCAGGGGGCTGGTCCGCTGGTAGTGCTGTGTGTTTGACCTTCCCACACTCTTTCTCATATGTGCTGAGTGCTAAGCAGAGAAATTAGTGTGTACTATTTTTAAAGTCTTTGGTATGACCCGGCCGGTTACAAAGCGAGCACTCTACCAATTGAGCTATTGCACCGGTATTTTACAGGAGTATACAGATTACTACATACAAGCTATTACCCACAAGTTTAAGAAACTTCTCACAACCAAAAAGCCAGAATCAATCTACATGTACAAACGATTACAGACAGTCAATGATACACACCAACACAACACACGCCTAGCGCATAGGGGGGGCTTCAGACTGCCAAAACCAAGAACAGCCTCAGCCAAACGAACATTTCTGTACCGTTGCACTAAATCATATAACACACTTCCACAACACATCAGACTATCCGCACCTACATCGTTTAAGAAACACATCCGGGAATGGTTGAAAACTGTGGTGGACACCTCCAAACCCTTACAATCTTGGATGTAGAAGTAACGTCGACAAAGTGTAAATATGTATTTTTAATTCTATTATAAGACCTATGGTCTCTCGGTACAACTTGCATGTTGTGTGTGTTTATTGGTACTTTAACTGTTGCAGGTGAATACTAAATGCATTCATGCATTCTTGCCAAATGTCTAGAACTAGAAAGAAAATTCTTCCTTGACGCTGCCCCAGACATTTTCCAGTTAAAGACACTGAAAGGCCTGGCACTACAAGACATCCTGACGGAGGTTCATCTGTTTGTGCACAGAAGTAAGCAAGGAGGGGTGGAAGGAAGGAAGGAAGGAGGGATGGGTGGATGGATGGATGGATGGGTGGATGGATGGATGGATGGATGGAGGGATGGATGGATGGATGGATGGATGGATGGATGGATGGATTTAAGAATGGATGGATCGGCTGATGGATGAAAATGGAAGAAAGAATGAATGGATGAATGGAAGAATGGATGGATGAATGGAAGAATGGATGGAAGAATGGATGGATGAATATGAATGAATAAAAACGAATGCCATTGGATAGATGAAGGGTTGAATAAAAATGAATGTACAGATGACCATGGATGGAATTACAAACGTGGCATGTTGATTTTTTACTGTTGCTGATGTTTGTTTGTTTGTTTGTTTGTTTACTGCAGTTGACTTCCCCATGGCCGTGAAGATGGTTCTGTTAGACAAGATGGCGGACGCAGAGTGAGTTCTGCAGAGTCTGACCTTGCAAAATTATCTTCAGCAACAAACTGTGGAATCAAAATTACCAGTCTGATACTTGAATCAAAATTACCAACCCTGTTTTTTACTATCATGAAAGTTCATCTGTGTTGGTAGTTAGTGACTGAGTGACTGGTCGAAAGCTCTAGGTGAATTTTTTTGTGTCAGACCAAAAGTCTTAACTTTAAACAACCCTGTTTTTTATTTGACCTTTTCCTCAGTTTTTACCCTAAAATGTCCAAGCACCCAGCATTGGTGAGAGCTTCCCAATTTATCCTAGACTGTTGCCTAGTTAGGTCAAACTCAAGTTACTCAGGCAACTGGATATGATTTTGGAAACAGTCAGACGTTTCAGGTAGCATCCACCACATTATACCTTTTGTCAGTGACACTGGAGAGTTGTCAGAAAAGCAGGTTTAAAAGGTAGTGGATGCTATCTGAAATGTCTGAGAGTTTCCAAAATCATATCCACTTGCATGAGTAACTGTTTTTGGCATATATTATTACCTGGATGTCTAACCTTCACTGATCTATGTTGCCTACTTACATTCTAAAGCAGCTGCAATGAGTGAATATACTAGTAGTTGTACATCAGGTTTTTTTCTTTTGGTTAATTTATACCCTGAAATGTTTTGTATATTTTGCAGGTACCGTTTGGCGGCGGGAACCAACGAGAAACTTCAGCTGAGTGCTGTCATCGCTGCTTTCCAGGTGGTGAGGAACGTGGCAGCACAGGCTTAAACAACAATTACACAACAGCATCACAACCTCAACCCAACATCCACAAAATTCAATCCAACAACCTCACAACATCCGCACAACAACCACACAACAGCAACACAACATCCACACAACTTCAACCCAACAACAACACAACCACACAGCAACACAACAACCACACAACTTCAACCCAACAGCCACACAACTTCAACCCAACAGCCACACAACTTCAACCCAACAACAGGCGTGAAATCTGCAGCATTCCGAGTCCACTACCAGTAGTTATACTGAACACGGGAAAAAAAACTTTCCTAATGACTAATGTACTTTTAAAAAAATGTATATATTAGCTATAGGACATTGCACACATTACATTTGGAAAGATTTGGAAGGGGGGTGACCAGCCATCTAAAAGGCAACATTGTGTGTTGAAAAATAGTGATATTTCAGGAAATAAACACAGTAAAGCAATGCTTGTTTTTCTCTGTAGAGTGAAGGGTAGACTATAGTCTTCAATCCTACGTTTTTTTATTTATTTATTGATCTTAAAAACGGCTTGGTGGTACCTTCAGTTTAGGACAACTGATTTCCAAGGTAGCCCAACATAAGACAGAACAAGTTACAAAGGACATACATGTAGACAATCAATTACTTAAACATAGAGATAATATTATATGAACAAAGGGTACAAGTAGTCAATCATTGGAAATTGGACATGTCAACCAAAACAAGAATTCTGAGATTTCTGACAGGAAAAGCTATCTGTCACCAAAAAGTCAAGACCATAGCATGTTCAGGACAAAAGATCCAAAAACCGGAAGTTCTGCTGCTGTACCAAGGTCATCCACCAGGAGGCCCATATCTGACCTTGACCTTCGTCTTCCTAAGACTTACCAACATACCAAATATCATCACAATCCATAAAGGCGTTCTGAAGTTATGATGACCACAAAGTTGCGGAAACACACACACACAGACAGACACACACACACTTTGTCTGATTTGTCGGTTGGTTGACTTTGACTTTATTAGGATCCACTATTAGCGTACAAACTGTAGCTATTCTTCCTGTGGTCCAGGCGAAAAAATAAAAACAGGCCTAGGCATCCTATTATGGCCCAAAATGGTAGGATAGGAGCCATGAAGTAAATACACCAGGCTGGTTCAAAATTTAAACAATGAATTTTGAACTTTTAATGATACCACTGCATTGAAAGATGGAATAACTGTAACAACTAGGAAGAAAAGGACTGTTTTCAACTCTTCAGGGCAAAATATGAGCATTTTGCAGTTGATTCAGAATTTTTTGTTTTTTTTTATGCAAATCAGAAAAAAATGAAGCGGGCAAATCCGTTAACCAAGAAATTTAATTGGTGTGGCCTAACATACATTCATATACAGTGTAGTGAATGTATTTAGTGATGCATCCATCGTCTTTCATTTAATTAGCAAAGCCATGGCAGTATGTTTTCTGTATCAGATTTCAAACACAAAGTTCTGATAATTCTTGCTATTTACAGATGTTTTAAACATATATTACACATAAATTGTAACACACATAACACAGTCATAACATGATACTATAAGATAATATTATCAAAGTATTCCAGTGTCTTTGAAATGTACATGTCCTGACAATAAAAAGTACTTACTCACAAAACTTAAGCGATATTAACTAGATTATACACAAATTTTGTATTTGGTAAAATCGGCAATGATACATTTGTACACAGAATTTAGGAAAAATATTACTCAGTTACTGGTGTGATCACATTTTGCCATCATTCCTGAGACGGCCAAGCCAGGTTTCTATTATTTCTTTCCTTCCACCAGGAGGCAAACAGTTTATCCAGATGTTAACCAGTTTTTACAGTGCATTTTGTACTTTACACGGCGCAGTCTCCACATTTCCATGTGCCATCACTGGGAGGGTTGACTGGCAGGCAGCTGACGTGAAAGATCCTCTGGCATGCCCTGCACGCCTCAATCCTTCCCAGTCCCTCCTCCTGCTTGCAGCAGCAAACCAGCGAGATTCTGCTGACCCTGGTGAAACCGACTTTCTTCCTCTGGCTGGTCAGATGAGGAAATGGTGTGAGCCTCCCTTGTTCGAAGCACTTCTTCAAATGGCTCCTCATCTTCCTGTCGTCATACGCAATGCTGCTCACGTCTCGCCCCTGTGCGATGTCCACTGCCCAGGCGATGGCAAACAGCCCACAATCAAAGACATTCTTCTGACGCTGTACCTCTGGTAGGATGATGGTCAGGACGTTCCTCTCTTGGTCGGCAAACGCGGCGTAGGTCTGGTAAAGCTGGACCTGCAGATATGTGGTCATGTCGGCGCCAATGCTGTCATACAGGCGCACCTGTCCGTCTGTGTAAGACGACAGAACCCAGTGCGCTCTTCTGTTGTGGTGGATTTGTAGCCCCTTTCCTGTCATCTTGGCAAACCCGTCCTCGCAGAGACCAACTGTAGGGGCTTCCAGGCCTTGGAGTGCCGGGTACTGGTGGTGGAGCAGCCTCTGGGCAGCCTGGATGAGGTCGTCTGTCAGCATCTCGTTGCTTGTCAGAACCGCCTTGTCACCTGCGCTCAAGTTGACAATTGACATTATTTTCATGGCTTGCTTGGTTTGGTGGCTTTCCTGGGTGTCCTCTTTTGGCAGAGACCCGGATGCCACCACCACCACTGGCGCCTTGCTGTCGGAGCAGATCGCTTGACTGCTGTCGCCTGTGCAGTTGTTTGGGGATGCAGGACGGACCGCGATGATGCGGCAGCCTCCTTTGGGGACATGAAGTTCCACTGCTGTAGCATCGGGAACATCTTTGACAGTCGGAACAAACTCAGGCTCTGCGGGGAGGTCTGCGTCCTTCATCCTGTGAGGATAGAGGTGTTTGAGTGAGTTTCTAAAAATCTTGTATGTTGAGTGTTTATCTTTAACAAATCAAGGCTATTTTAGATACATAATTACTGTGCTCAATACCATTTTTTTAAAAATGTGTTCTTACTCGAGGTTGAAGAGCAACTGCCTCTGCAGCCACAGTTTCTTCACTTTAATCTCCACCTCGACCAGGCTGTCATGAAGAGTGTCCAAGGAGTTGTTTTCTGTACCAATGTAAAGGGTTCAATTAGTGTTCTTTAATCACACATGAAATAAATTATTTACGGTAATAACAAAGCTTAATACATGTTCATATTAAAAAAAAACATGCAGAGAAGGCCAGATACTTTTTCCAGGGCCTCCCTGTAACTGAGATTATGATAATTACTATGAGCAGCAGACAATATATGATAAAATTGAACAAAGACAATAAAATTTGAAAACATATGCAGCAAAATATTTTATATTAGCTTACGCTAGATATGAATGAAAAGAAACCAACTGTTTTGAGTAAACAAAGTAAAACTCAGTGGGGCAGAGGAAACAAAGGGATTCAGGGAGGGTGGTTCTGTAGCATTATAACTGGAGTGATGGAGCAAAGATCCTGGGTTCAAGTCCATAATTTGCCAACTAGTGCAGGCACCAAGCAAGTCACTTTCCAACAAAATTAACACCCAAAAAATGATAGACTTTCTCGGTTGGTTCAACCGAGGGCTACGCTACCTGCGACTGGCACCTTCCAAAAGCCGAAGAAGGCCGTGAAGCGTTCCCACAACCCCTGGATGAAGTACTGGTCATCCTCAGACATGATGTGGTTCCGAACATCGGGAAGGGCGCTGTCGATGATCGCCATGGCGATGTTCATCAGCACCAGGAAGATTATGCAGATGTAAGTGATGAAGTAGATGGGGCCGAGGATGGGGGATGCCTCCCGCAGCTCGTAGTAGTAGAAATTTCCAAGAGTCATTTGGAACAGAGTGGAGAAGGACTTGCTGATGGTGCTGAAAAAAAAAGAAAATCATTGTCATGATAACCTAACCTGTATCATCAAATTTCAAGTCACAAGGTTTGTATCCCTACTGCAGTACTAAAACTAAGTTGAAAAATAGATATCATCCAAGTTTTCTAACTCAAAGTTTGTATTTGATACAAATAAGATCTATGTTTTCTTACCTATACTCCTTCACAATAAGGCCGAACTTGAGATAACCGTAGACGCCGAATGCTGACATGGCGAGGAAGAGGTAGACGGCGAAGGAAGCGAACTCCACCGACATCCCTCGGATCATGGACATCAGCTTGACGAGGAATGGGTTGAACCTCAGCAGCCGGAGGAACTTCATCATGTTGACAAACGTCAAGAAGGCCATGAACCAGCCGTAAACCAGGCTCACGTGTAACTTGTGCATTAATGCGTATCTGAATTGTTATGTAAATGTTCTACAACAGAATGCCGGTTTGGTTTTATTTTACTCGCCCGCTCAAACATCATCTTGCAAAAAGTCAGAGGAACAAGAAATCAAACTATTGTAGCCTAGTCTTGAGATACTTTTGCTAAAATGGCGTAAAAATATCAGTGAAAAGAAGAACAAGTAAACAACCTCCGTGTTAATATTCAAACAGCCAACTTCAAACAGCAGCTTCAGACAATCAACACAGCTCCTGTAAACACCTGTCAAGCTTTTGCTAACGCAGGCCTCTGCCTATATTACAATAAATGTTATAATTATCAAGCTGTAACAAAGCAGTTAGTACAAGTTGCGTAAGACCAGGCTGTAAGGTTTGATCCACTTTCCCTGGGACGGACCTCTACTCTTTTCTTATTAGTGTGCTGGGTTCTTTAACGTGCTCATGTCTTCTCTGAATGAGTGTAAGGTTTCGTCCTTCTATATCTAAAATCTTTCTTTGGACAGAAATGGGCTCTTTAAGTATAAATATAGAATTTTGCCAAGGTTTTCGATGTTCTGTAAATAAATGAAAATGTACAGAAGATTGATAGCTAAAGACACAGATTTTAGCCTAATACATAAGTAACATTCTCTGTAGTTACCGCTGGGTCTCCCTTTTCACTTGCCTCTCCAAAGTAACGCGCGGCAGTTGGTCCATGTCTCGACAGATGGCGCTTTAAAAAGTGTTCCTTCGTGCACGCGTGTCACACGCCTAAATGACGTCACAATGAACACGCCCATATAAGTCAGACTAATCAGGCGTTGTTTGTCACACTCCGTTGCGCAACAGCCACACAGAGCTCGGCTCTGAGAGGCACAACTGCAACAAGACGACTGAGGGCCGCTCTTCAGGCCTTAGTCCAGATATATAGAGATTGTCAACTGAAGATATTTTGACCAGCTTGGAAGGTAAGTTGTGATAAAAGTTAAGGTGTTTTCTTAAGTCAAATCACCCCTTGGTCATTACAGGACGTTGAAGGTTCGACATCCAGGTAAAACATTATGTAATATAAAATCAAAGAATAAATAAAGAAAACAAGCAGATTTTGCATTTCATAAAAATTTGGAGGCTTCAGAAAGTATCCAGTGACTGAGAATGTGAATAGAAGT